GAGGGGGGGGGGGGGGGGGTGGGGGGGTGGGGGGGGGGGGGGGGGGGGGGGGTTGGCCGTCACGCCCCTGGTTTCTCACCGGTTTCATTGAAAAAGCTGTAAATCTTCAACAACAAAAGGCCGTTGTTTGAAAAGCGGCCGGACATCCTCTAGGATATTTGCTTTCTTCGTTCCACAGCAGCGTCCACGTGAACAGTCGGTGCAGTTTATTTGTCAAACTGTGAATTCATCCCTCTCATCATATAGGTGTAATCTGTACTGGAAAGTGTATGTGGTAGGAACACTGTCAGACACTGAAGTCACGCTGTTTGAATCTTGACTCATATTGTTTTATATTTATATTTTTATACTTATTTTCTTAATAAAACGACCTCAAAAACTGATACATCCACCTTTAATCTCATGATTCAGTGGTTAGACAATAGGTTGCAGCCCACACTGCAAAAGGTGGCCACTCAGCCCACATGCAGTGACACAGTCTAACCCAGACATGGGCAAACTAAGGCCCGGGGGCCAGGTGCGGCCCGGTTAGCTTTTTAATCCGACTTGCCAAACTTTTCCAAATTATATCATTTCTTTATATTATCATAATTCTGCTGTCTTTCCCCTGCAATACCCACGTTTCCCCAATAGATGGAGTAGAAAATGATAAAGACAATTGTGGCCCGCAAGTCAACAAAGTTTGCTCACTCCTGGTCCAGCCCACAGTTAGTATCCAGTGTGTTAGAACTAAAATTCATGTGGAGAAAGTGGGCTACATTTGTGGGCTACATACATATTTCCAATATGCAAAATTGAGTGCTCCATATTTCATAACATGTGGCCCAATCTTTAATAATTAATGAATTATGTAATAAGTTATTATTTAATTGCCCAACATGGGCAACAAATGGACTCCCGGTGTGTGGGTCTGTTTCTGACCCGGTCCACATTCTAAACTCCCACTCTGATTCACACTGAGGCCTCACAGGTTAGAGAATAGTGTGTGTGGCCCACACTTTGCTTCGTGGCACTTTGTTTTTTTCTGCTGAACACAAAGGAAGTAAGAAACTGGTTAAAAGTCCATTATGGTCAACTTTATTGTCTAATATTGGTGTTAATTAATTAGATAAGGCCCCTTAAAAATACCCCACCAAAGCCCCGCTGCAGTGAGAGGATCCATCAGTGCTACAAAGTAAATGCCACTTGATTTGCTGAGGTGAGCGGCGACTATAAAAGTTAAGTGGTGATTAGTTTCTCCTGTACTGTCCTAATGTAAGCAAATATAAGAGATGAGCCGTAAATTCTCCCTCCCTGTGAAGCCTTTAACGTCCAGCCATCTCCAGGCGCAGTGGACCAAACCTCCTCGTAAATTTTAGAGCTTCAATCAGCGTTTGTGTCACTCTGGAGGGCATTAGATTTGTCCGCTGGGGTGATTCACAGGCAGCGGGGGAAAAAAAAGAGG